ACAGTAGGCGTCTCTCATGAGTGTTGAGAACGGCCTAAGGAATGATCTGGACATGCCGAAGGTTCCTGCAGCCAATACAGTAGGCGTCTCTCATGAGTGTTGAGAACGGCCTGAGGAATGATCTGGACATGCCGAAGGTTCCGGCAGCCAATACCGTAGGCGTCTCTCATGAGTGTTGAGAACGGCCTGAGGAATGATCTGGACATGCCGAAGGTTCCAGCAGCCAATACCGTAGGTGTCTCTCATGAGTGTTGAGAACGGCCTAAGGAATGATCTGGACATGCCGAAGGTTCCGGCAGCCAATACAGTAGGCGTCTCTCATGAGTGTTGAGAACGGCCTAAGGAATGATCTGGACATGACAAAGGTTCCGGCAGCCAATACAGTAGGCGTCTCTCATGAGTGTTGAGAACGGCCTGAGGAATGATCTGGACATGCCAAAGGTTCCAGTAGCCAATACAGTAGGCATCTCTCATGAGTGTTGAGAACGGCCTGAGGAATGATCTGGACATGCCAAAGGTTCCAGTAGCCAATACAGTAGGCGTCTCTCATGAGTGTTGAGAACGGCCTGAGGAATGATCTGGACATGACAAAGGTTCACAGGCTTCTGACCCCTCATCATCATCTCTGGGGACAATTTACGTCATTTGGAAGCAGATCCAGCTGATTTTGTTGAGCGATTTGTAACCATGGATGAGTCTTGGGTTCACCACTAACAACCAGAGATGAAACAAGAGTAGGTGAAAACATATGAAATCTCCGAAGAAGTGTGCAAAGTCTGTTCCAGGTGATGGCTTCGGGGTTTTTTAAATTTCAAACGAATCCTACTGCTGGACTACCTCCTGAATAGTCGGACCATTAATGGCCAATATTATGCTAATCTGCTTAGGCAGCTGCATGAGAATATCAAGGCTGTATGTCATGGAAAACTCACGGTTGGTGTGTTGTTTCACAAGGACAATGCACCTGTGCTCAAGTCTCTTGGCACATAGCTGTAATGTGAGACTGTCGTTTTGAAGTCATTGAGAGTGAGTATGGTTTTTGCCACTTTTAGCAATATTCCAGCACTATCACACCGGGGGACACCAGAAATGGGCTTCACACGTTGTACCCATGTCGGGAATCAAACCTGGTTCTTCCGCCTGATGAGCAACGCTTTAACCACTAGGCTACTGACCGCCCCCTGAAGTCATTAAACATTAGCAGTATTCACCAGACTTGGTACTGTCAGAGTTCCACCTCTTCCCAAACTTGAAGTAAGAACTGCCTGGCAAGCATTATGCAAATGATGATGACATCATTCCTGCTGTTAGAGGAAGATTTCTCTCCACATCAGTGGTGTCCAGGCTCTCTAGCATCATGGGTAGAAGTGTGAAATATACTTAACAACCATAAATATGAATAATTAAGAACCACAACAGGACTAAAATGACTAGATTTATTTGGCCGAAGTAGGTAAAAGATGCAGACCAGGTACAATGTATAGCACAAAAGTAACACAATAGGAAAGTGTATACTTGAACGACTTAAATACAAATGAGCTCAGTTATAATATTTAAACTTAACGAGAAAATATTTAGTTGCTAGGAGAGTGTAACTTGTACCTAGGCTTCAACCCCCCGGGACAGACAACTACAATATACTGAACAGAAAAGGCGGCGGGTGGGCGGGGAACAAAAACAAACGTGTTCGGGTAGCATTTAGCTAGCCAATGACACCGAAAGGTGGGAATTTAAACCATGCCGCTAGGGATGATGGGAAGAGAATATTAGGTCTCGTCAGCCCGAGACAAGAACATAGAAACAGTCAGTATGGGTAGAAACTTGACCTGGAAAAAGCCTAGCAGACCGTAAACTTTATAAACAAGTGGAACCTAGCCGTCTGAAAACTGTATTAAACAAACAATATCTACGAAGGCCTGTACAAAAACAAGAAAGCCTCAAATGGACACGCAACATAAACAGACTGTACTACAAACGGTATGTGGCTAAACAAATGTTGGAAATCTTAATTAATCATTTTCAATCTACCGACAGAAAATGTGAAAATTAGTTCCATTTTAGTTTGACATTGTGCTCTAGTGTTTTGGATTGTTGCTCATGCTATCATCCACTGGTTTGCCTGGCAGAGGCTCTAATAAACACGAAGTGCCCCCTGCATCATGTTGCTGGAATATTGCTAAACGTGGCACAAGACAATACTCACTCACTAGGACATACTGAGTGTCCCTGTGATATTGCTTGAATATTATGAGACAAAACACCTCCCTCACTCCACTCATTACACACTGAGGTAGAATAGGCCTTCAGCAACCCATGCTTGTCGCGACTAAGGGATCGGGTAATGCATGACATCCTATGCATGGATCGATGCTCATGATGTCAATCACTGGATTGCCTGGTCCAGACTCGATTATTTACAGACTGCTGTCATATAGCTGGAATATTGCCGAGTGTTGCGTTAAACAACAAACAAACATTACACACTGTCCCTCTTGTTTTGCAAGCTGTGATGTTGCTGACAGCAGCAGGAATTCACTCACTCACACACACACTGATGGTGTAGCCTCCTGGGTAAATCTTTTCCTTGTCACGCCGAAGAACCGGGTTCAATTCCCTGAGTGGGTTCAATGTGTGAAGCTCATATCTGGAGCTCCCCTGCCATGATATTACTGGAATATTGCTAAAAGCGGAGTAAAACCATACTAACTCTCTGTTTTTTGTGTGTCATAATTTAACCGTTTCATTTGTTTTGTTTAAGTGTAGGATTTCTTTGTTGATGAGGTTTTTTAAACCGTTTCAAATCCAATTTGCCAGAACCCTTATGTTGCACAGGAATTTAGTAATTCAACAAGAAAAATAAAACCTTTTTTGTTGATTGATTAAATCATGAGACATGCAAAGTTTTCATGTTCAGAAGAAAATAATAATCCTCCACTTTCTCTGTGTGTGTGTGTGCCAGTGCTATGGTTAAATCATCATGAAAACCACACAACAGGTGATCTTCACACAATATGAAATGTAATGTTCTGTGCCATGTAGTTATAAGTGTGAGGTGACATGAACAGGCCATAAACAACGGGAGTAATGTTGGAGGCAGACAAACCCAAGAGATCAGAGCTGTCTTTGTGGCTCAGTCTATGTCTGTGTATCACTCTCCAGCCATGTACTATATTTCCCTGTATCACTCTACAGCCATGGACTATATTTCCCTGTACCACTCTACAGCCATGTACTATATTTCCCTGTACCACTCTACAGCCATGTTCTATATTTCCCTGTATCAGACTCCAGCTGTGTGCTATATTTCCCTGTATCACTCTCCAGCTATGTACTATATTTCCCTGTACCACTCTCCAGCCATGTACTATATTTCCCTGTACCACTCTACAGCCATGTACTATATTTCCCTGTACCACTCTACATCCATGTACTATATTTCCCTGTACCACTCTACAGCCATGTACTATATTTCCCTGTATCAGACTCCAGCTGTGTGCTATATTTCCCTGTATCACTCTCCAGCCATGTACTATATTTCCCTGTATCACTCTACAGCCATGTACTATATTTCCCTGTATCACTCTACAGCCATGTACTATATTTCCCTGTACCACTCTACAGCCATGTACTATATTTCCCTGTACCACTCTACAGCCATGTACTATATTTCCCTGTATCACTCTACAGCCATGTACTATATTTCCCTGTATCAGACTCCAGCTGTGTGCTATATTTCCCTGTATCACTCTACAGCCATGTACTATATTTCCCTGTATCAGACTCCAGCTGTGTGCTATATTTCCCTATATCGGACTCCAGGTATATACTATATTTCCCTATATCGGACTCCATCTATATGCTATATTTCCCAGTATCAGACTCCAGCTGTGTGCTATATTTCCCTATATTGGACTCCATCTATATGCTATATTTCCTGTATAAGGATCTGGCTATGTGATATATTTCCTGTATAAGGCTTCAGCTATATGCTATATTTTCTGTATAAGGCTCCCGTTTTATTTCCTGTATAAGGCACCAGGTACATGCTATATTTCCTGTATAAGGATCTGGCTATGTGATATATTTCGTGTATAAGGCTTCAGCTATATGCTATTTTTCCTGTATAAGGCTCCAGCTATATTTCCTGTATAAGGCACCAGGTACATGCTATATTTCCTGTATAAGGCACCAGTTATATGCTGTATTTCCTGTATAAGGCTTCAGCTATATGCTGTATTTTCCTGTATCTGACTCTATCTGGCTGACAGACCGTGTGACAGGAGACAGGGTGTTGGTAGACTGCCTGGCTGTATCTGGTGTGTTCACGGCAGTGCCAGATGTGACAGGACGGTGCAGGATGAGTTGCTTCATGACGTCCCTCGCCCCTCCCTGTCACATTCATCTTCGTCCCATCCCACACCGCCAGATTTATGATGACATGTCTGATAATGTTCTCAGAAACCATTAATGCTTCTTTTATTGCTCTTGTATCATGAGTTTAAATATAACTTTTCCCATCAGACACCAAGCAGAAATATGCAAGATTTGACTGCCTCCCTCCATAGCGCTGTTTATGTTAATGCAGAATACCTAATGGCATGCAACATACAGTATAACGAAATGAAGTCATAATCACATGGTAAATAATTTCTACTTATAACACAGCAGAGCCCGAACAAGATCTTTGCATTTTAGTAATTGATTGATGGAGAAATGATACCACTGGGTTGAAGGAGTGAGGATTCAAGTAGAGGGGAGAAGACGGCAACTTGTTCTTGGGGCTTTCATTGTTAAGATGCTGCCAGCGAGGAGTAGCACAAGTTGGAGGTTTTAGCCTGGGAGATTGACAGTACGTCTTGCCGCCCCTGTTATCAGGCGTCTGACAGAGCCTGGTAGTCTGTACTGCCACTGTTCCCTTGACTTGCACTACTCCGATCAACCACCCGCCCATGGTTTCAGATTGTCAAAGGGAGGTAACCCTTGTTTGTGTTGTGTTTCAGGCACTGGAGACAGCGTACAGAATGGCCAAATTCAGGGGCCTCATCAAGCCAGTCGTACATGGAGAGGTAGGTGTTGTGGGGCCTCCACAAGTGGATTTCAATTAAAGAAAAAAAATAATAAAACATAAAATTGAAGAAATCATCAGTGTTTGCAGGTACATTGGAGAGGAACGACATTCACTCACTCACTTATTTGGAAGACATATTTATGTCACAAACATGCCTTGGAAAATGATATCTAGACTTACATCTAGTCTCTGAAATGAAATATGTTACAGAACAGTTGTTAAATTATGTTTTAAAATAATAAAAAGGAGCCCACAGACTTCATTTTCAGAAGCAGTAATCTAGACTCGCCAACTGTACTACTCAACATTTGCTAAGGACCAAAATGGTCATTAGTCAAAGGTGTGGTTCTTAGCAAATTTGAGTAGTGTATTATAGACTTGCCGTATTGGATATATTTGTTTCGGGTCTGTATGACAACAGGGCACCACATATTCTTGCTGGGGCAAGGGCGAGTCCAAATTTACTACCGGGTACCCGACCCCCTATTACCGACCCTACCCGGGTAACCACTGTAGGTCACAAGACTTGGGTACGAAACCTATGATTGGGATTTGTTTACAGCAGCTTTGCAAAAACTATTTAGATACATGTGTCAAATGATCAGATCATGCGTACACTTAAGTTAGCTGAAGCTTTATCTGTACTCAAATATACACAAGTCAAAAGGAATGTGGCATCATCATAAAGAAATGGGAACATTAGCGACTTGTAGTGTAACCGCTGATGTATAGTGAATTTTTGTCATTAAGCAATATGTAACGTGACTAACCATGGGTGCGGGTAGTTATGTGGGTATCCGGGTCCTACTCAAGACCCACCCGACCCGAGTACCGGTGTTACCAGTCCTAGTACCAGCCATATTAACAACATTCCCTCACATATCTCACAGACCTGTGAAGATCCGGGGTAGAATAGGTCTTCAGAAACCCATACTTGCCGTGAAAGGCAACTAACGGGATCGGGTGGTCAGGCTCGCTGACTTGGTTGATGCATGTCATCGTATCCCAATTGCGTGCATCGATGCTCATGTTGTCAATCACTGGATTGTCTGGTCCGGACTCGATTATTTAAAGACCGCCTTCATATAGCGGGTATATTGCTGAGTGCGGCGTTAATCAACAAACAAACAAAAAACAACAAGACATATCTCACAGAATTATTTAGTTTATTTTTCAGAATGGTAGGTCTATTTCATAAATACTTTTCAGTTATTTTTGTTGGGATCTTCCCAGGATATGAATCATCTGGTTGACACATATTTTTTCTAATATTTACAGGAATGCCTTAAGAAATTCACTTCCAAAGATGTAATCTATAAAAATGATCTTCCATTAAGTCACTGTTACAAAAATTGTGGTTGAAGATAGATGTGTTGATTTAGAGCAGCTGAGCCTGTGCTGGGGAACATGAAGTGATACAGATGTCTTTGTGATGTGATGCCCCTCTCGGAGAGAAGCTGTCCGTATAAGAAAGCAGCCTCAGCACCTTTACTATAGAGTACCCAATTCAATTTAAGACCGCCTCCGTGGTCTAATGGTAGAGCATCCGCCCGGAGAGCAGAAGGTTCGGGGTTCGATCCCCGGCCGCGTCATACCAAAAGAGGTTAAAAGATGGTACTTGTTGTTACCCTGTCTGGCGCTTGGCATTAAGGGGCTAAAACAAGGACTGGTCGGCTCGGAGTCAGTATACTGTGTCTGAGTGGGGTATTCATGTTAAACTGCGGCATGGTATCTCAGTGAGCTAGCACTATAAATCGGCATCAGTCTGGACTAGTGCAAGCAGCCACACACACACACAAAGACGTGCACGTTGCTATATAAGTGCAATAATCTTGGACGCGACGTTAAACCCCATTTCACCTCACCTCACCTTCAATTTAATCAAAGCCATTATCTAGACTGCATGTTAGTCTGAGCATCTAGCCTGTGTCACAGTCCCTTAACCATATTATTTTCCCTACCACCCAGTCCTTATTGTATGTAGTGCTGCAGCCCTCGATGAAACAAGTCTAGATTTTTGCGTCTCACATCTCGCATCTCACTGGGGCTCCTTGTGTATGGGGCTTGAAACAATATATGTTTTTGATATCTGACAAATCCTTTTCCGGATCATCTTATACTATGGCCCATTTCTGGTGTCCCCCGCCGTGATATTGCTGGAATATTGCGAAAAGCGGCGTAAAACCATACTCACTCACTCTTATACTATGACTATAGAAACAAACAGTTTTAGTCCACTTGTTCTTGTCGTAACATGTAGTGAAACCATTAAAACTGGAAAATATCTACAAGTCCTTACCATACTTTAACTATTGGTCAGTTTGGCAAGGACTATAGAACTAGTACCTGTTTCTAACACTGCCTTAGTTATAAGCCTAAGATATCATTTTCTGCTTATGTTTTTTTTTGCAGATAAAATAATTTATTATAGAATTCAATGTGAAAGATTGAGTTTTCCGATAATGGGAAAAGTGAATGCAACACTTGATATTTCACTGCAGTGAACATAACACTTTGACGGAACTATTGTCATACAAGAGTTACCTCCCCACAAATTGTCTCCCTTTATCGTAAATGTCTATCCCGTAGACAAACTGTTGTCTTTCTTTTAGTTTAGTTCCACATTGACAAGGCAGAATAGTTGCTGATGGTCATTTATGGCATGTGTTATTATCCTCTTGAAAATGTTTAGTTGTGAACTGTAAATTTCTCATTTAACTTGTCAATCGAGACTGTTTCGCAAAGTGGCATTTTTGTTATCGGTACTTGACCAGCATGTATTCTTTCGCTTCTAACAGCTGACTCATAGATTTCAAGAATATTCTTTATTTAAGTTGATTTGGTATATAAAAATATCCAAATGTTTGATAAAGAATTTCCGTGACCCTCAATAATTTTTTTTGCTTTTCTTTATATTTTTTCAGATTTTATAAACACAGAACTACTTTTTAAGTGGCAATTACAAGGGGTGGTGAAACATCCCTGGGTGTTAGGTGGTGAGAATTTACATTTCAAGGTTTTACATTTGTAATGAAATGATTTAATTTTCCGGTAGACAGCTACACAAAAAGTATATTATGAATAGGATATTCCATGTGCCTTGTGAAATATCATGTTTCTCTCATCTCGTGACAGGAAAGAAGATATTTGAACTCATGGCTACACCACTCATGAAAATGTCTCCTTTCTACCCGTCACTCGATGATAGAAACATGATATTTCACTCGACACATGAAATATCCTCTCCATACAGTTTTTCCTATATTGATTAGAAATCTTGTACTTCTTGCATGAAATGCAGCAAAAATATAATATAAAGTGTAAATAACACTAAATCAGTGTTTTAACCAAGTCAGTTTTTAGCTCACCTCATCCAGTGCTGTTTGTTTTGTTTGTGGCGTTAAAGTTGTACAACTCTGAAATGTAAACTGTTGACTGTGCAGAATGTTTTATAGGGGATTCTAATTGTGTCTCTAAAATGTGCTCATAAAATCTTAAATTGATTATCATTGTAGCAATAATGGCATCTTCATCATCATTTTTTGGGGTTTTAATTTAATATAAAGTTTCATTTGGCTGTTGGCATACTTCTTGATTTACTTCCAATGAGCCAGATAAATTGAGATGTACCTGCGATGTAGACTGGTCAACATTTGCAAATGATTATGGGAAATTGCCCAAGAGTCTGTAAGAGAGATACACTTTTGCCTGGGGTACACGATTCTAGTTCCTCTGATGCACAGTATTCCATTTGATATTTTGAAATTGACTTTTGTAGTGGAAGTAGATAAACAGACCAACTGACATTTACCAAACAAGAGAATGGCAGAGAAAAATAAAAAAACGGTTTTCTTTAGATTGCAAATTTATTAAATAAATAGTTTATACTTCTGAAATTCCCATTTATTTGAACTTTACATACAAGACTTGAGGAAGTTCTGAAGAACGTCTAATTACCCTGACATTTGTGGAATATGGCAAGGATAGTGATTACCACACAGATGGATTCTCTTGCCGGCTAATTACTGGGAATATATTGTCCTCATAAAGTTGTAATGACGCGCTCACTCATCACGGAAATGTCAGGTTCCCGTACAGATGTGGCTGGAGTGTGCTAGGCTGCCTAATTAATCAGCTGGCCACAAGCCTCATTTGCCACAATCATCATCTCCTCTTGAAAAAAGCCTTAAAGATGTTTTACCGGTCTCCCAACATTGACAATGAAGGGACGTCTCCATTCACGACAGGATGGCAATCTATTAACAAGATCATGTGGTCACAAACGGAAGCAGCTTACACGTGGACTTTGTCTCAAGTACATGGATAATATACTACTAAAATAAAGTTAGACACCACCTGATTAATTGTAGTAATATGAGAGAATCGGGTGGCCCGTTTTTGTTTTGAAGTACATAAGTGAGTGTGGATTTGCCTATTGGTGTTTTCACATCTAACTGATTATGTTCGTGATAATTATCATTCGTTGTTTTAATAGGGTAGTCATTTACTTATCTTATTATTGTTCCATACTGATTTTATTTGTTTTTAGAAGCCATTGTTTTATCAAGAATTGCTTTCTATAGATAATTCATTTTCTAAATCATTGAAATATGTTGTACCTGGTAATATGTGTTGTACCTGAAAAAAAATAATGTTCAATTTTTTTAGATTAGTGGAGTCTGTGTATTTGATGTGTTTATGAGTAGAGAGGAAAACATCCACACATTCTCAAAGCAAATTTCATTACCTTGGTAATATATATCTATTGTTCGATGCATACTATAGACAATACGGACAATATTAAATATACCGCATTTGTCGTATTAAGCACCCTGCTCCTATAAATGCCTCCTGATCAACTTGGCGGTTGGGTAGCCTAGTGGTTAAGCGTTCGCTCGTCAGGCCGAAGACCCGGGTTCGATTCCTGACATGGGTACGTGACATTGCTGGCGTAAAGAGGTGTAAAACTGTACTCACTCACTCACTCACTCACTCCTG